GATGTTTAAGCATCAAGCAAGAGAGGGCTGTTTTTAAAATTTTTTTAATTAAAAAATTTATTGTGGTGACATTGGTTAATAAAATTACAAAGGTTTCAGGTATATAATTCTATGATGCTTCATCTGTATATTGCATTGTGAGTTTATCACCAAAAGTCAAAGCTTCTTCTGTCACCATATATTTGACCCCCTCTACCCTTTATTACTCCCACCACCTCCCACTCTGGTAACCACCATACTGTTTCCTGTGTCTGTGAGTTTTTGCCTCTTTGTTTATCTGTTGTTTGCAGTTTTATATCCTGCATGTGGGTAAAATCATATGGTTCTTGACTCTTTCTGACTTATTTCGCTTAGCATGATACTCTCAAGATCAATACATATGGTTGCAAATGGCAGTATTAGATCTTTTCTTATGGCTGAGTAGTATTCCATTGTATGTATGTACCACATCTTCTTTATCCAGTCATTGAGTGAAGGATGCTTTGGTTGTTTCCATGTCTTGGCCACTGTGAATAATACTGCAGTTTGAAAACATTCAGAAAGAGAAGGCTGTTCTTGAGCTGAGGCCATAAGACAAGCAGAGCCGAGGAGACATATTTGAAATGATCCTTTTCGTGTGGAGGGAACAGGAAGGCTGTCCTTTTGATTTCTTTGGTTAGGCGCAGAGGCTGAGAAAGGTGCCATTTAGCAGGACCTGTGGGGCAAGAGGTACGGTGATCAGCAGGGCCATTGGTTCCAAATTTTGAGCTTGGACCTTCAAATGTGGGCTGTTGTCCTGGGTCAATTCATGCAGGGAAACAGGGTGAGACCTCAGTGTAGGTACTGATCCCAACTGAGATGAAATCCATCCATATTAGGGTGCTCGGGGAGGGTCCCGAGTGCGTGCCTTCAAAATCTGAAAGTGAACGGGACTCTCTGAGACTCCCAAGAAGGCTTGCCTGCTGGTAGATCCCTGCTTGGAGTCTTGTTCTTGGCCTGAGAGAATGTGGATGCTCTGGGCATCAGTGCGGCCCTGGCCAGCCTGATTTTGCCAGAAGCAGTGACCTTAAAAGGCCAGTGACGAGGCTGCCTGATTTCTCAGGGCATGTCACACTTCACCTGCCACTGGTTAGTAATGAGACAGTAATGATGCCATGAGGGACACTTCAAGGAAGAGCTCTGCCGTCTGGAAGTCTAGCTCCCTCAGGAGGACTTCCCGGCTCTTCTCTCCTGGAGGCTCCGGGCACCTCCTTGGGCCCTGATGACTCACCTCACCGTCTTCCATACCTGGCAAGCCCGCTGCTGCTCTTTCTCTGCCCAGCCTGGCCCTGCCTTCCTCTTGCTTGTGTCACCTGGTCCCTTTGAGCCAGCTTCCCCCCATCACCTACCACCTGAGCCTGTCTTACTCTAACACATTCTCCATGTCCTGCTCTGTCCTTCTCCCTACTCAGAGGCCCCTCCACGCTCTGAGCCTTTGCTGTGACCCTGAAGAACTCATGCCTTTCAGCGTCTCTCCCTTCCCCTAGCACTGTGCACCAGTGTCCACTGTTAGGGCGTATCCTTCAGCTAAGACCCCTGCGCCTGCACGCATGGAGGTCTGTGACATCTATAGGGCCCTTTAAAGATTTCAAAATGCTTTCACTTACACAACCGCAAGATGTCAGCGTGGACTATTTGTACTGTGGTATAAATCAGCTTCTTAGCCATGACAGCCAACAGCTAAATGAAGGAGTGGGCATTGGAGGCCCTGATGGTGGATGGAAATGTGCAGGCATAGAATATGGGGGAACCAGAGCTGGGGAGGGAACTTGGGAAGGGACAGTGAAAAGACAGGCATTGGCAGGACTCTGAAGACAAGCTCCAGCTGGTTTTTCATTTAGATTTGGACTTCTCTCTGACTTTATTTAGTCGCTATTATTTTTTCCTCAAAGTCTCTGATCCCGTTGGTTCATCTGCCTCTGTGGCACAACCTGAGGTACCTGTATCCCAGTAGGATGGTGGAGGTTAGATCCAACTGGAAGGGACAGAGTCTGTGCCTAAACAGCCAAGACTGGACCTAAAAGGCAAAAAAGTGTTTTCTAGTCTCAGATGAGCAAGGAAATCAATTCCCAGGTTGTAACAGGGGACAGACAGCGGGTGCTTTTCCAGTGTAGTCTAGGGAAGCTTCCCGGAGAAAGTGAATAGGAAGCAGGCAGGTGGGTGGGAGAGAAAGGGAATTCTGGGGACTTGGAGTAGGGCAGCTGGAATGAAGCAGGGAAGTCAGGTGGAGGGGGCAGGTGCTGAATCCCCAAGTAGGGTTTGATGTGATCCCTTGCATTTCCATGGGTCATGTACTTCCAAGGAATGTTGCTCTTTTCTCTTACTGTGTCATCACACTCATCCTATGAGGCAAAGATACAGTAATGAAACCCTCCCCACTCCATTCATGGAAAGAATAACTAAGCACAGAGAAAGTATATATTTTTCCAAAATTGCGGCAATTCCAGGACTAGACACTGAGGCTCAACTCTGGCTGAGTCCACTCCTGGCTCCGTGCTGATGGCTAGTCCTGGGAGGGCTGTACGAGGGTAAGGCAAACCGTGCGGTTAAGTCAACCTTTGTGCTTCTTAGGTGGCCTTCTGTAGAGGCTAGCCCTGCACTGTATCCATGTAGTCCCAAATCACTGTCTGGCATTTCCTGATTTCCTTATTCTTGGCCTGACAAAGACTGTCCACTCTGGCCTTGGACCATGCAGACAGGCTGTAGGCAGCTCTAAACAGCAGGCAAAGACCAGAACACTGCCCTCTTCCCCTCCATTCCCTCCCTACTCTCAAGAAGTGCAGCCCCAACCCATTATCAAGGGCCCCTATGGCTCCGTTATGCTTCAAGGTCTCCACAAATGGACCGAATAAGAATATGCAGAAAACTCTAGTTTCAAAGAGATTGGGAGTGCCAAGGGGGACAGGAGCAAGGTTGGAGAGTGTATGCATCACCTTTCAGTTTGTGGTCAAGATTTTGTACTTTGGCAACAGGGAAGCATTGAAGGGCTTTGAGTGTGAGGGTGGAGTGATATGATGTATAATTTGAAAAAGCCCCTCTGAGGGTAGAGGGGGAGAATAAACGTGGGGCAGATGTGTATGCGGGCAGGTGCTGGGGCCAAGGGGGACTGCCGTCTGTCTATGCCGAGCAAAGGGCCTCAGTCATTTTCATCTGGTTACACTTTGATGGTGAAGAGGGTTCTCTTTGCCCAACCTCAGTGCCCCAGTGCCTTGTGAGGGTCCTGGATAATTGAAAGAGGGGCTGCTCACATATGGGATGGTCATTTGCAGTGGTCATTTGGGGATCTGGGCAAAGGCTTAGGGGTACAGGCCCATTGACTCAACCTGGGCTGCCCTGATGGGTTCTCTTCACTTGGTGACACCAGACAATAAATGCTGCCCCTTGAGCCCCACTCTCCGTGGTACCATGCTGACCGATGAAGTCCACCAGGTGAAGGTCAGAGGCCATCTTATGATGACTTCACATGTGCCTGTGGGTCCCCATCCCCTTATCATCTGAGCTGGTGGAACTTCAGTCATGATAAGGTGGAAGGAAATTATCTTTATTAGTTGTATCTAAATATTCCTGTCTTACACCTTGATGGCAGCTTTTTGGAAGAAGAATGTACTACTTTGGATTTTCTGGGTCTTGAATGATTGCAATAGCAGGGGGCCACAGCTAGATGGAGAAGCATGTTCTAGCCAGAGGGAAGAACATGCACAAGGTGTCCTGAGCTGGAGCCTCTCCCCAGCTCCCCCATCCCCATCGTCCCTCCAGTAGCATGTATGCCACCTCTTGCCCTCTATTTTCTGTCTCTAGGGAGCATCTTCCAGAAACTACATACCCTTCAAGACTAGATTTAGTCTTAATTCCTCTGGAAGCCTACCTTGACCTAGCTTTCTGGTGTCCTGTAATAGGGACTGGAGCCCACAGTGCAGAAATAAATTATAAAAGCTTCACTCTCCTGGTCATAATTGTGTTTCCTGCATGAAAGATGCTAAGTTTTTCAAGTGCAGGGACCAAACGTTCTAGGCTTACTGAAACTGTCCAGTAGAGAGCTGGACACATAGACACTGCTCCACAACCTCATAACTGGCCAGAAATTCTGTTTCAAGAGACCAGGAAGAGCTGTTGTACATCCATCCATCCATCCATCCACTGATTCATTTAGCAGGGAGAGACTAAGGGCTGAGCTTGATCTATAAGGTTTGATTTCTGCTTCTAGAGAGCTTATAACAAAAATAATAAGAATTATTATATAACCACCTTTTATTGCATGCACATAGGGTAATGACTGTCCTGGGTACTTTGCGTCACATCTCCAGTGCTCATTCTTATTACAATCCTGGAAGTTTGGAATTCTCCTCATCTACAGTTGAGGAAACAGGCTCAGAGAGATTTCAGAGTCAGCGTGGCAGGGCTGAGGTCTCAGCCCAGGTGCCAGAGCTGTGGGTTGAGTCCAGGTGCTCTGGGCTATGCTGCTCTACCTGAAGGTGTTTCTCAGAGGTGGGAAGAGACTGAATCTGATCAGCTGTGAGACCTTGGCAACTTGTGGCCCCTGTCTGGGATTTTGGAGGTCCATCTCTCAAAGTCCATGTCTCATCTCTCAGTCCCCTCCGATTCTAACATGCTGCAGTTCCATTACCGACTGGGGTCATTCATTTCCCTGCAGGGTGAGGCTGGGAGTCTTCTGAAACAGCGCGGCAGTCCTGCTGCTGGCTGTGAGAGGGCTGCTCCGAGGAGGGCCAAGAAGGGGCCTTGGAGCTGGCGGCTTAGGGCTGCTCTGTGTGTGTGTGCAGTAGGGTGAGACAACCCCACCCCCATTTTCTTCTCCCCTCTCCTCCCCTGTGGCCAGTGTGACTCTAGATCACTAAGGCTCTGAGGAGATATGACCATTTTTTTATGACCACCCCTGTATCTATCCCTCAGTGCCTCAGTTTCTCTGTGTCCTGGGTTCCCATCACCTGAAGGGGCTGTGCTTCCTTTGTCTTTCCCTCTCACAGATATCCCCCTGCTCCCTGGCTCTCCACGCCGGCTGAGCCCTCGGGCAGTGGCCAGGGGTGGCCAGGGCCTCAAACAAGGACAGCAATACCTCAAGATGCTGGGTCCCCGAGCCCCAGGTCTGCAGGGCAGCTCCAACTGTGATACCAGCCAACTTCCTGGTGAAGAGTGCTCCCAGGGCAGCTCCGTGAGTACTGGGGTATGAGGGGACAGCTCGCCCTGTTGGGGGCCCTAAGGGAGCCTCTTAACTGAGGACACCCCACTTGGGGGGCTGTGTGTGTGTGTGTGTGTGAGAGAGAGAGAGAGAGAGGGGGGAGAGAGGAGGAGGGAGGGAGAAAGAGAGACTCAGGGTTTTTATTAGGCCTTTTTCCTTTCTTTTCTCTAAGGCATGAGAGCATAATGTCCACACTGGAGTCTTTTGGTCAGAGGAGGACAGGACAGGGAAGGAAGAGGTGTGAGAGGCCAGGTGATCCCACCTGTCAGTCTGCAGACTCCCTGGCTCCCCTCCCACCTCTGCCATGGTGGCTCTGGAGGCTTTCCCCTGTGCCTGGTTGCCCTGGTGACCTCTCAGGTGGCTGTGGAGGCAGCTGGGTATCAAACCAGTAATAAACAGGGAAACACCCAAAGGGGAGGCAGGTCCCTACTCTGCTCCGCCTCGTTCTGTCTTTTCCTTTTCTCTCAACACCCATCTCCACGAGTGGATGAGAGCAGGAGTCAGTCCCCTGCTGCCATCTGTGGCAGGGTCCTCACCAGTGGCTGGAGAGTATGAGGAAGAGGATAATGTGGTGCTGTGAAGGGCATAGTGTGTAGTGAATTCCTGTGAGGTGGATCAGGTGACCAGAAATTGGCCTTTGTTCCAATGGATCCAGAGAACCTGCCAGTGAGTACTCTGTGCATGTACATATGCGAGTTGGCAGATCCACAAGGAGGTGGGTGTGCCACTGTGCGTGTGGAGGGCTGTGTGTTAGAGTGCATTTGGGTGAGGTACATGTGCACAGATGTGTGTGTTGGACTGTATGCGTGTGCAAGAGTGGGCCTGTGGCTCTGAGTGTGAAGACAAGGGTTTGCTGCTGTGTGTGCGGTCTGTGTACCTGAGCATATCTGTGTGCATGAAGCCTGGAGCAGGTGTGAAGGCACCCATGCCTGGGCTATGGATGGGTGGGTGGAGGGCTGGGTGTGGCAGACGAATGCCACTCTGTCCTGTCACTGGGGTGGTTTGGGTCTCTGGGTCTGAGGGGCTTGCTTCCTAGTGCAGCTTATTGGACCAGAGCAAGGGCAACCTCCTCTGTCTCTCACTTCTTCCTCACCAGACCTCACTCTTCCTGCTCTCTTTTCTCTGGCCAGGTCATCAACAACTACTTGGACACCAATGAGCCAGTGTCCTCGGGAGCCCGTGTGAGTCGCATGCACTTCTATGACAACCAAAGGAAGGTCGACTATGTGCTTGCCTACCACTACCGGAAACGCGGGGCGCACCCTGGCCAAGGCTTACCTGGCCAATCGCTGGCCATCGTCTCCAACGGGGAGACTGGCAAGGAGCCCCCTGCTGGGGGCTCACAAGACATTGAGCTGGGGCGGCTGGATGCCTTGGAGGAGGAGAGGAGGGAGCAGCGGGACGAGTTTGAGCACAACCTGATGGAGGCTGGGCTGGAGCTCGAGAAGGACTTGGAGGTGAGGTTGGACAGGAGTCACAGGGTCGTGGGGTGGGATGGCTCTGCAGGGCTGGGCTCCTGGGGATCCGTGTCACCTGCAGGGAGCTTTGGCTTTGTTCTGGAAAGTGGCTTTTTTGTTTTCCTGGTGGGAAAACCAGATTCTCTTGCCCAAGTACTTGAGGAAGAGTATTGGTATAGTTAGTGACTCTACCTAGGAGATGCAAGGTAGTAAGGGTGTGTGTGTGTGTGTGTGTGTGTGTGTGTGTGTGTGCACTAGTCTGTTGTGTGGGAATTGGCCTAGTAGATATTTCTCCCTGGTGTTCTGAGGCCCCACCTGGTAGCCTTTTCCATAATTGTTTCCTTGGGATGAAAACCCTGTTTGCCTGTTGAACTTGGGATCAAAATTCTGCTATAGGGGATCTACTTCACTAAGGCATGTGCTTGCCTGGGACCCCTGAGGGAGCTGATTACTTGGGAACCAAACATTGAACACATTTTATCAAATTGCAAGCTACATATATATTCTCACCTCTGGTGAGTAACCAGCTTAAGGGAATTTATGGAAATCTGTTTATCTACATATATGTCTTATATATCCATCCATCCATCCATCCGTCCATCCATCCATCCATCCCCTTACCCATCCATGTCTCCACACTGCAGTGATCCTTTAAAAATGACCTGCTGTTGCCATACTCTCCAAACTCGTTTTCTACCCGCTCCCTGCTCCTGCACCTGCTCCAGCCTTATCTTGTATTGGGTTGGCCGAAAAGTCCATATGGTTTTTTCCCATAAAATATAAGATACATTTTTTTATTTTCACCAATAACTTTGCTGATTTGGATATTTAGAGTATGTTGACTATCTCCCATGTGGTATAACATTGATTGTTCTCGGTTAATGTCTTGATTTGATCGATATCAACTTCAGCCAGTCTACCTGACCGTGGAGCATCGTCCAGCAAGAAATCTCCAGCACAAAACTTTGCAAACAACTTTCAACACATTTGATTAGTCACAGTACCTTCTCCACACACTGCACAAATCTTTTCTTGTGTTTCAGTTGCATTTTTATCTTTCTTGAAATAATAAGGCATAATTACTGAAAATGTTATGTATTTTCTTCCATTTTCAATATTAAAATGGCTACACAAAAATTCACCAATTTGATCAGCTTTTTTTTTAGATTTTATTTATTTATTTTCAGAGAGGGAAGCGAGGGAGGTAGAGAGAGAGAGAAACAGCAATGTGCGGTTGCTGGGGGTCACGGCCTGCAACCCAGGCATGTACCCTGGCTGGGAATCGAACCTGCGACACTTTGGTTCGCAGCCCGTGCTCAATCCACTGAGCTACGCCAGCCAGGGCTCTGATCAGTTTTTTTTTAACGCACACTGATATGACAGCTGTCACAATACAATCTAAAAAAATTGTTTCTGATGAAATTAAAGATAACTAAGCACTACTAGAGCCATCTTATAGAAAAAAAAACAAATGAACTTTTTGGCCAGCCCAGTATGTGTTGGACACCCTTCCCTCAGGGCGTTCGGTTGTCCCCTTCCCGTCAGTCCCCTTCCCCTCACCTGTGTGTACTCCCTCTCACTTCACACTCTGCTCAAATGCTCCCTCCCCCACACACCACCCCTGCTAGAATACTTCTGCCTCATCACTCCATGTCTTGATCCTGCTCTACTTTTCTCCATCCCACTAAGCCCCACTATCTGAAATTATAGGAAAGGTTTATAAATTTATTTTATTTGTGCCCCCATTTGCTCCATCAAGGCAGAGGTCTTTTTGGTTCACTGCTGTATCCCTACCACCTAGGACAGAATCTAAACAATACAGTAGTAGTACTCAATAGTTATTTGAATAAATAAGTAACCTTCTTGAGGCTCAGGTTCTTCATCTACAAAATAAAAGACTCCCGTGCTGGAGTGACTTTTACGTGTCCCATCATTAGACCAGGGCAATGAAAACATCCAGCACAATGTTGGGTCCATAGAGGGTGCTCAGTAAATGCTCATTATGATTCTTTTTCTTTTTGAAAAGATTTTATTTATTTATTTTTAGAGAGGGAAGGGAGGGAGAAAGAGAGAGAGAGAGAGAAACATCAATGTGTTGGGGGCCGTGGCCTGCAACCCAGGAATGTACCCTGACTGAGAATCGAACCTGCGATGCTTTAGTTCGCAACCCACACTCAATCCACTGAGCTAACCAGCCACAGCTTCATTATGATTCTTTTAAGAGGTGTCATGCCGAGGGATGACAGACCATTCTTACGGAAACCTGTTTTGCAAGATTCAAGTTAATCCTGCCCCCAAACTGGAAGGGACCTTCCCCCCAGCCAGAGGTCATTCATTCATTTCCCTGTCCCCAGGCAGGATCTGCTTGCGGCCTGACTCTGCCTTTGTTGTGCTACTTCTCTTGTTATTCTTTCACCAAGGCAGGGGCAGTGCATTCTTTTAGGGCTACTTGGGACTTCCTTGCTGTGAGAATGCTGATTTTCACTTTTTGAAACCCAGTGCTTATTTGGTGCCTCTGATTGGGGTCTGGTGGGAAGATTTCTTGAGGTACTGGCTTGTTTTGAGGGCCGAGGAATGTAACCAACACGCAGGACTGGCTGCCTGCCGCTATGAGAGCCAACATTGGAGAGGCAGGTGCTGATGTAAAGGAAAGTGGTTTATTTGCAGATGCTGGGCATCTGGAAGGTGGGGGACTCATGTCTCATAGCCCATCTCCTGGAAGATGGGGGACTCATGTCTCACAGCCCACCTGTACCTTTCAGTGGAAGCAGAGGTTTTTATAAGAAGGGAGGGGGTTGAAAAGCTCTGTATGTGCAGACGAGCACAGTCCATTCCGATAAGGCAAGTGATGGTTGGGTGTGCATCGTCCTGGTGTAGTCATCCTGACCTCATATCAACCTGGCTCCATGGTCGAAGGTCAGCAGATCTCCTGGAGCTGGTTGGAGTCTGTATCTCTTGAAACTACCGTATTTTGCCATGTATAATGCATACTTTTTTGCCCAAATTTTTGAGGGAAAAATAAGGATGCACATTATACACGGGTAGCACCTGAAATGCCTTGTATCTGTTCGTGCATTTTGTAATTATTTGTAACATAGAATTTCTTGTACCATAATATGTTAAAAAATAAATGCTAACATTCCTTTATAATGCTAAAAATGAATACCTAAATATAAATGAATAAAAAATTGAGTTAAAAATTAATGAAATTAATTTTCATTAAAAATTAATGTAATTTTTTTTCCTGAAAATTTGGGCCTAAAACATGGGTGAGCAGTACACATGAAAGCACTCTATACATGGCAAAATGTGGTAGTTCCTGGGATTCTTATGCAAATGTGCTCTTCACTACAAGCTCCGTGTTTGTCAGAGTCTGCACTCACAGAAACAATGTCAGAACAATGGTGGTATTACAGAACAGACCCAATGGGGGGGGGGTGACAAAATACTATTACCGAATGGACCCTCCCTTCTCCTGGTGTCCCTGTTTTAGGTTTGCCTTGCTCACCACCGGGGAATGACGTCTCTCAATGCCAGAGATTGGTGAAAAGCAAAGGGATTATTTATTCAAAGGGTGTATAGATTTAGACTAATGACTTAATGTCTTCGTTAAAATCCCAAAGTCCCTTAAAACACCCACAAAACACACACAGTCCTTCCTTCCCTCCTTTGCCCAGTCAGGGGTGCCGTATCTCAGGAAAAGAAATAGAAGTCCATGGCTCAGGCAGCCCCTGGTTCTTCCCAGTAATCCGTGCTCGGCTGGCAGGCCTCCCTCGGTTCCCAGCACCATCAGCTGTGTCCCTGCTGCAATCTCCAGTTCTTCATCCAAACCCATGTGGCACCTTCTCATGGCCCAGCAGCAAGAGTCCTTTCACCCCTTTCCTTCCCACAGTGTCTCTCCTGCATTCTTCCAAACTGCTAAGAGGGGGCTCTGCATTGCTGCTACATCTTGCCTTCCAGCTTCCTAAGCTGTGTGGCAAGGGAAGCCCCAAAGTCTCGTGGTTCTCCTTTTCTTGCCAAAACCACCTGGTCCCCTCTTACTCCAATGCCATTGTGTCCAGGGGCAGCTCCAAGGGTGCTGTATCCAGGGGGAACTGCCTTACCGGAGTTGAAAGGCACTCCCATCTCCCTGGCTCAAAGCATGGCCACAGGTGTTTAACATATCCATGAAACCAGTTAAAAGTTGTAGATATGTTAAATGACCTTGCAAGAGGTTAGTTACAAAACTGTTGCTATGTAAAACAGCTCTCAATGTCCCTGATCCATGTGTCCCATCCCCGAGTTCAGACTTGTGGAGGTGAGGGCATCCTATATATATTTTTTATGTAATATTTCCTGGACACCCTGAGTTCTGGACCCCATTACAAATCCCCATTTGGGGTCTCCCCTGCCTGCACCCTGTTACAGTGGGGTGGGGTACAATTTCCCATGGTTACAGGAACTTTTGCCACTACCATGGCAGCAGGCTGCAGTCCACACACCTGCCTGCGGTGTCAGGGAGTGGAGGCCTGGACCCTGTTCCCCTGCTAAGTTGGGAAGCAGCATCACGTTCAGGACATGGACTCTGGAGCCCAAACCCGGATGTTCGCCTCCCAGGCCTGGCGTATACCAGACTCACAACCTGGGCAAGTGACTTGGTCGTTTTGAGTCAAAGTTCCCATGTCTGTAAAGCGGGAACAACACTGCATTCTTCCTTGTGTTTTTATGAATAGACAACTAAAGAAACTATCCAGAACAGTTGGTGTTACTGCTACTATGACTGTTTAGAGTTGTCAGATTAGGAGATAAAAATTCACGATGCCTACTTAAATGTGAATTTCAGAACAATAACAAATAATTTTATAACTATATCCTATGCAATATTGGAGGTATACTTATACTACAAAATTATTCATAGCTGATCTGACATTCAAAGATAATTGTGCTGTTGACTTTTGCCGCTACTGCTCACGTCACTGCCCATCTTTGACTCCCTCTGGTGGCACGTTTTAGTTGCTATT